CAGCCTCCCAAAGGCGTGGGATTACAGGCTGAGCCACCAAGCCTGGCTGCTTTTTTTCCCCTTAAGTTGGAGGTCTTACTCTGTTGCCCAGGCCGGATTGCAGTGGCACGATCATGGCTCACCACAACTTTGAACTCCTGGGCTCAGGCAATCCTCCCACCTCAGCCTCCTGAGTAGCTGGGACCACAGGCGCATGCCACCATACCTAGCTAATTTTTTTTGTAGAGACAAAGTCTTGCTATGTTGTCCAGGCTGGTCTCAAACTCCTGAGCTCAAGCAATCCTCTTTCCTCAGCCTCCCAAAGTGCTGGGACTACAGGTGCATGCCACCATGCTCGGCTAAATTTTATTTTTTGTAGAGACAAGGTCTTGCTATGTTGTTTAGGCTGTTCTCAAAGATCTGGGCTCAAGCGATCCTCCCATCTTGGCCTCACAAAATGGTGGGATTACAGGTGTGAGCCATTGGTTCAGCCCAGATGCTGCGTTTGGGTGGACTCTCTCCTTGGAGAAGCTTCCCGGCCGCTCTAGCCCCTTCTTGGAACTCTGGTAGCACCTGTGGCCAGGGTGTGGTCAGCACACTGTGCCGGGCCTCACTCCATGGATACAGGCATCCTCCAGACAACAGTTTCCATTTATTGAACACATACTGTGTCCCAGAGCTGCGTGGGGCACTGAGTGTTACCTCTGATCTCACATCAACTCTGCAGACAGACACTACTTTCTCTCTACCCTATGGGTGAGAAGCTGAGGCTCAGAGAGGCTGGACTACCTTCCCCAGGGAAAAGCGGGATTTGAACCTCGCCCTGGCTGCCTGATATCAGAGCTGTGATGCAAACCGCAGTCCCTTGTCTAGCTTCTTGTGTCCTCCAGCTCTACATGGCCAGAGTTAAGCCTGCCCAGAGCCATCTCCCCTCCACAGAGGGGCCCAACCAGATGCCTGGGGGACATTCTCCGCTCTATTCTTCTCACCTGAGACATCCCGCAATGTGCTCCCCCCACCCATGGCCTTGATGCCCAGAGCTCTCTCTTCATATTTCCAAGAGCCTCCCAACAGGCCCTTCTGACCACCTTCCCCTGAGCAACTAAAGAAACCCACTAGAATATAAACGGTCCCAGCTGAATATCACACCTCCCCCAACCATGCTCAGAGGTCCCTTGGAGCCTGCAGCTCAGAAGCCCTGCTCGCCTCTCCAGTGTCTTCCTGGCAACCTGCCCCAGCTCTTCCAAATTACCGTGGTTCCCCAATTACAGTCTGCCCTCTTACAACTCTGTGCCTTTGCTGTGCAGTAACTTCCCCTAGCAATACCCTTCCCTGTCTTGCTAACCAACAAGCTCCTATTTGTTCCTCAACACCTGATATGGTGTCTCCTTTCTCTTTCTGAAGCCTTCTCCACCCTCCCCAAGACAAAGGGCTTAATACTGCCAGATAGTCTGCTTCTTCTCTCGCCAACCCAGCCCTGAACTGTAAGGAAAGGGCCAGTGCTCCTAAGGAGTGAGATAGGGTCCAAGCCTTCTTTGTGTCTCTGGAACTCGGCTCAGGGCATGTATAGGCCCTAATATGTGCTCACTGAGCTGAGTGAGAATGTTCTGCCCAGAATTGGCCTTCACAGCATCCCACCAGCCGTGCCACTCCTCTAGCTAAAGCACGGCTTCTGGGGGCTACACGGGGTCCTGGTTCAGTTTGTCTCCTCCCCAGCATGGGGGCCACCCCGACTCCTCCCGTCTCCTTGGGAGTCTGATAGGCACTGAACCACTCCACTCTGCCACCTGCCCCTCAGGGTGAGAAGGAAAAGCCCTCCGTACCTTGGAGGGGAGGAGGTGGACTTCTTCAATGCACAGGGCCGACATGCGGGATACCACCAGCCCGACAGTCTTCTCCAGGAGGAACATGGTGCCGGGCACCAGCAGCCACTTCCAGAAGTTGGGGCCATGCACGATCAGCAGGAGCCACATGGGCAGGTAGGACAGGTGGGTCCAGTAGAATACCTGTGGGGGTGGGAGGCTTAGACCACCAGAGCCCAAGGGGCTCAGGGCTGTCATCAAAGCCAGGGTGGAACCAGAGCCGTGGCCCTGTCCTGGGATGGGCTGGGTGAGGGGTGGGCTCAGGCGCTTCTTGCTTATTTGTTCTGGGGCTTGGCCAAGGAAGTCCAGAAGGAAAGACCCCCGGCCCCAGAGGCAAACAGCCGAAGCACCTGCCGGGGCATGTCTGGGTGGCAGCGTGCCCACGGAGGTCCATGTCCTGTCCTCACCCATTCTCAGGAGGGAGAGAAAGAGGACGACTGTGACTTCCTGGGTGCGGGGAAGAAGCAGCAGAAGAATGTGTGGACATCCGCTACTAGCTGTGGGAACTTGGGTCACTCATTGCTTTTCTGAGGGTCACATGTGGTGCTGGTGCCTCCCATGGAGGTTCATGCCACCCAGTGGAGGGGCTCTGCAGGCGTCTACCTCCCACCTGGTGGGGCCAGGCTGGGAGAAGGGCAAAGTCTCCCAACCCAATCCTCCCTGATGTCAGCCTCTTGAGGAGGCTGGGGAGGGGAAAGCAGAGACGGAACAAACGTCTCAGAGCCCCTGAGTGGCACGTTTGCGATCTGTGGCTTCACCCATATTATCTCCTCTAACTCCTGAAACAATGTTGTGGTGAAGAATGACACCTCCATTTTACAGATGGGGAGACCGAGAATCGATTGAATGACCCATCAGCACTGGGGTGGGGATTCAAGACCTGTGGGCCTGTGCTCCCTCCCTGTCCTGTGCTGTCTTGAGCTCCACTTAATCCAATCAGGGCCAGGAGACCAGTCAGCCAAAAGGCAGAATCTTCCAGAGGAAGCACCAGTGGCAGATCCCAAATCACCCTCTTATGATATGCAGAGCGGCCGGCTCCCTTGCTGGGTCACAGTCGGACACCAGGCCGCGAGCCCGGGCTGGGGACAGGTGTGGGGGCTGGGCGGGCACCTCAAAGTGGCCGCTCCTGCGGACACAGGCGCTGGAGCAGGTGACCATGAGCAGCAGCAGCAGCAGCAGAGCGACGCCCGTTGGGGGGGCCGTGCCTTGCACCCAGCCGACGCCGGACCTCGCCGTGAGCAGCAGCTCCCAGAACTGGATGGTGCCGGCATCCGCCCGGAATGCTGCAGACAGGCACAGGACCAGCTCTTCCACCCACCCTCCCTGTGGGTTCCTGCCCTGCCCCCAGGGAGCTCTGTCCAGAGTGTGGCTCACCCAACACCCTTCTGCACCCACGGCAGGCAGGACACCCAGGGGCTGTACCCACGTCCTGGGCTGGGAGCTGCTCAGGTCCTCCCAACCCTCCCAGTCACTCACCGAAGTTCACAACATGGGCCACGGTGTGCACCAGGGACAGCCCGGCCACCACGTAGCCCATGAGCTGGTGGAACTGAACATTCTGGTCCAGTGGAAGGACCTGGGCCAGCCACGTGGCCCGCAGCCACGTGAGTCCACGTCGGAGCATCAACACCTGGCCGGGCAGAGTGCAGAGAGTCCCCTTGTGCCTGCCTTGCCCCATCCCTAGTGGTCTCCCTGCAGCTTTCTGACAGGCCCATCGCCACATCCTGCCCCAAGCCCCGCTGCCCCCCTGGGTCCACAGTGGGTTCCTGAGGGGGTCTCCAGAGACGGGTGGAAGGAGAGCTACAGGAAGTCTGCTTGTGTTCATTTCACCTAAATGCAGATACTCTTATGAATACTGAACGTTTGGGTTGACACGGCATCACTGTTCAAGCTGCATGGAACCCCAATGCAGTTCTCAAGGTTTCCTGGGGGAAGGTCTGGCTTCCCCAAGTGCAGACAGGGTGACGGGCCCCCTTCACTGGACATTTGCATCTGGTGTGTTTCTGTGTGCCTGATGTGTGGACTTGCAGGTGACAGTGTCTACTGTAACCAAACTGAGCTAAACTCCCCCCTGCCCCCCCGAAGGACAAGTAGTTCAAAAAGATTCCCTGCAGAGGCCAGGCGCAGTGGTTCATGTTGGTAATCCCAGCACTTTGGGAGGCTGAGATGAGAGGATCACTCGAGGCCAGGAATTCTAGACTAGCCTGAAAAAAAAAATGAGGCCCCCTCCTCTACAAATTTAAAAAAATAATAATAAATTGGGCCAGATTTGGTGGCTCAGCCTGTAATCTCAGCACTTTGGGAGCCTGAGGCAAGTGGATTGCCTGAGCCTGTGGGTTCGAGACCAACCCGGGCAACTTGGAAAGAACTCGTCTCAACAATTAAAAAAAAAATTATCCAGGCGTGGTAGCACATGTCTGTAGTTCTGGCTTCTTGGAAGACTAAGGTGAAAGGATCACCAGAACCCAGCAGGTCGACACTGGGGTGGCCATGAGTGTGCCACTGCACTCCAACCTGAATGATGGAGTAAGACTCCAACTCAAAAAAATTTTTTTTTAAATTAAAAACAGATCCTCTGCAGAGAAACTGTAGCTTGGAGGTCCTGTTAGTGGAGCTAGCATGGTGGCTGATGCCTGTATTTTCTACATTTTGGGAGGCTAAGGCAAGAGGATAGCTTGAGTCCAGGAGTTCGAGACCAGCCTGAGCAACACAGTGAGACTTTGTCTCTACAAAAAAATTTAAAAAAACTAACTGAGCACAGTGGTGCATGCCTATAGTCCCAGCTACTTGAGAAGCTGAGGAAGGAAAATTGCCTGAGTCCAGGAGGTCAAGGCTGTGGTGAGCTGTGACCATGCCACTGTACTCCAGCCTAGGTGACAGAGTGAGACCCTGACTCAGAAATAATAAAAAAGAAAAGAAAGTCCTGTGAGTAATGTAACAGCAAATGATCCAGAGAAGGAGTCACGAATCTTCCACCCCTGGTGTGACCTGCTTGCTGGTGGTTATGAGGTTAACATAAAACCCCTCTGACAAGAAGCTGGTGTAATATAACCAGAGATGTCCGTCCTGGTCACTAATGGTGTGCCTCGTCCCATGGTTCCTCTGGGGCATAAGTCTATCAGCTAATACTTATAGGGCATGTGTACAATTATAAGTGAATGAGCAGATGAGGGTTCTGTTGTTTCAATAAGAGTGGGTGTGATCAAAACCCTCAGAGGCCTCATTCATGGCCCAGAAGGCCACATTCCAACTCCTCAGTCTAGCATTCGAGGCCTCCTGAGGCGTTTTCTTGTCTGGTTGGAGCTCTGCACAAGGTCCACCACTGGGCCCTTGTGAAGATCAACAGACTGTGTCCAGCCCCACGCCTGGTACACAGTGAGCTGGCTATGTGGCTGTGGACATGTCACTGTCCCTCTCTGGGCCTCAGCCTCCACCTCTGCGTGTCGGCCCAGCCGAGTCTGGGGTGCCACCCTGTCTTGGCATTCCCGGTGTCTGTGGTGGGCCACCGTGTCTGGGAGGAACCTCATCTGTGCCCAGCCCGCTTCCCGCCTGGCGCAGCCCAGCCTACCGCGATGAAGCTGCAGTCGAAGTTAAGGCACTGGCCACAGCCCTTGGCCACCATGATGCTGGCACCGTGGGCCCAGTATGCGCTGGCCGCCAGCACAAAGAGCAGCAGGTGGAGGCCCGCATAGACAGCCAGGCAGAGCAGCTGGCTGCGGTGGTTGTGCCAGTAGGAGCGGGTCAGCAGACGTGGCCGATGCAGGCGTGGGTGAGGGTGGGCGTCGGGGGGCCGCAGCCAGTGGGCAGCGCTGTGGAGAGGCGGGCTGGGCTCAGAGGGCCAGGTGGGGTGGGGGGGACACCTGGGCCCTGAACCTGAAGACCCCGCCTCCAGCTGTGGCTGACCAGTGCTTGGGAGTCTGTGGCTGGCAGGCCCTTTCCTTCCACACGGGGAAACAGAGTGGTCAGGTGGCTTGGTCATGGTCACACAGCTGGTGGAGCTGGGTGTGACTCCAGTCTGTCTGACATCACAACCACAGCTATCAGTAGGACGTCCCTCTCCTTCCCAGCTTAAGAAAAAGGCGATCAGAAAGGATGAAAGAACCTGAGATGTGTTTTGATAAGTAACCCCCAAGAATGTTAACACACAGGGAGCTGCAGAGCCGGCCCTGCTTAGAGCTTGGTGTCACACGTGGGTGGGACTGTGTGTCACTCTGTTTTACTTTCTCCACAACGCTTGTGAAGTCTGTACTTGTCTAGTTCATGTGTTTGCCATTAGGAAGGCAGCCCCAGCAGGGTGGGGACCTCCTTCCCTGCCGTGGCACTGTTGCTGTTCAGAACAGTGCTGGGCATACAGTAGCTGCTCAAACCATGTATGTTGAGTAAATGGAGGCCTTTGCTAACTATTTGTGTGATCCCAGGCAAGTTACCAGGCAGAGTTTCCTTTGTAACACAGGCATTGCTGGGAAACGCACTGGTGTATGCAAAAGTGCTGAGCATGCAGTAGGTGCTTAATACCGTGAGTTGATTCTTAGCAGACTGCAGAAAATGAATGCATGATAACAGATGCCCCGCAGGACAGACCAGGAGAGACTGCAAGGCTGGGAGAAACTGGGAAGGGGCGGGGTCGGAGCGGCGGGGCTAGGAAGGGAGGAGCTAGGGGCGGGTGGAGGCAGGACATGGCTGGGCTGGACGCAGGGCCGGGTGGAGGAGGGGCAGGTAGGGGGCTAGGCTGTGAGGGCCAGAAAAGGGGAATGGGGCGGGTCTTGGATGGGCAGGGGCGGGGCCTGGTGCAGGCAGGACTGGGAAGGGGCGGGGCCTCAGTGGGCCTGGTGG